CGCCTGTGATCCCATAAGCATTGAAGCAACTATGGGTGGTCGCTTTAGGATCAAGGGTGGGGGTATATACATCGTATCACTGGGATCGATGATACTCCGCCTCACAACAAAAGCGTGGCTCACCGAGTCATACAGATGGAAGACTTTGAGGGACCGCCCGGAGTACCGGCTGTATCCGACGCGAGCGAACTGCATCTCCTTTCACTTTAACCCTTTTCCAGTCAAGTCGATGAAAAACCGCCGTCAATATGGGTATGCTAGAATTTACCACTCCAGCTAGCTAACTGGTTAAGTCGTTGAAAAACGGCCTGCTATTTAGGTTGCTCAGACGGTCAAGCGTTTATAATACGTTGTACGGAACCTGATATTTTACACTAGCGAAATTATGGAGGGAGAGAATTTGTTTTCGATTCCGTCAAGTCAAATAAATTAACCAAGTAATAAAGAATGTAATTCTATACTCTTGTCTGCTCATTTCACTATTTTACCGTCACAACGCGACGTTTGCGACGACATAAAAAAACCGCCTTGACCACATTGCAAACTGCAGCATTACAACCATATTTGAACGACACGATTCATGATTATAACGGTAGTAACGTATTTTGACCAGCTTGGCAAATAGTCCCGGCACCAGAATGAATAGCATAACGGATTCCAACGGCTGAGCTTGGAATGTCGGCAATCACAAACGTAAAATGACCGGCACAGCTGGTAGGAAATATTCAAGTCCACGTGATTTCACCGTCTGAGCTAGCATATGCTAGCAAATATTCAAATTCTATGTGTATGCAAATTGTAACCAATCAGTGTTCGAAAAAATAACATATTTATTTACATAATAAATATTCAAATTGTGGGGAGATGCAGTCTTGTGGACATCTGGTCGTTCAGTATAAATATGGCCGAAGAAAGTGAGATAAATCCCAGACTCGCTGTGTGCCTCCTTTCCAACACGTATGTTAATATGCCGTCCTATACAGATAGGAAGTGTTTTATGAAGGAAAGTGAAGAAAACGCGTCAATCGTGCAGTGGCACAGGGAGTGATAAGTTTGACATTGACACGACAGATTTTTCACCAGCAAAGCGTGGGAAAAGGAAGAAATCCAAAGCAAAGGAAACATTTGACGTCGGTGAGTTACCAGCCCAACGTACCACGGACACCGGTGATAATAGTCCACTCAAGAAAAGGCGTAAAAAGAAAAAACCCAAGTCGGAGACTGTCTCCTCTGTCAATGAACAGGTGATTACAGAAGAAAGCCGTTTGAAGAACTGCGGGGGCAAACTAGGGGGCAAACCAGGAGGCAAGCGTAAATCGAAGACGAACCGTAAAGTGGTTGAATCGCCAGTTGCCGACGAAGCAGATGCCGAAGAAACTGAACTTAATCACGCTGAAATACAACGTGCCGTCGAAGATGTGATACAATTTTTGCAAGACAATGTTTACGATTCGGAACCGTCGACATCCGCCACAACTGCCACGCAGAAAAGCAGGG